AGATCAATTTTTACTTTTACGAATAAAATTATATTTTTTTAAATACAGAAAAATCTAGAAAATCTTCAATTCAAAACAGTGTCACTTGTTTTTCAATATCTCCTGAATTAATAATATTTTTGACACAAAAATAACTTATCATTTTCCATAGCTAAAAGTATAAACTACTTAAAAAACTACATATATTTCCTCTTTCTCCTTTTTAAAATATAATTCCCTCCTCCTCCTCCTCTCATACGAAAGAAATCGTCGTCGAAAATACGAGGGTTAAGTTTTTCTATACTCGCTTTAACAACCCGAGGAAAAATAGACGGTTTACGTACGTACACGTGCACACGGCTCGAAAGAAAGATACCTATCTCTCGCGAACGTCAATAAGCATTATTGTGCTCGCTCGGCTTCCTTCGCGTCACGCGTACAAAAAACGCATCGACGTTGTAGAAAGAAAGATAGATAGATAGATAGAAAGAAAGAAAGAAAGAAAGAAAGAAAAGAACCACTCTAAATTTCCGTCTTTTTTTACTGGATAACTATTTTCGCAATTTCGCGAGAAAACTATTGAATATATTTATATAAAACGTATATTTCGCATAGATGTACTCCAGTTTCGTATATATATATATATATATAATCCTCGAATCCAGTGGCAAGCGCCGATAGGTAATTACAAGGGGCGGGATGAACAGTAAGAGAGAGAGACAGATTTTACAGGCATCTGCGTGACCGGCGTGCAAAAACGTCCCCGTTGATGGACGTGTGCCACGTGAATCGCATAACGACTGGCTGATCATTGTCTGCGTTTCGCCTACACGGCCTTTGGACGCGTCTCCCTCCTCCTCCTGCTCCTTCTCTGCCCCTCTCGGAGAGACGATAACGCGATGACCTCGAGATAAATTGCTCGTCCACGGTGTTCAATGGCATCCCGAGCCACGGTACCGACGACGAAAGAAGAAAGTCTGCGCGTGATGGATACCAATTGGTTGCGTAATGAACTCATTCGAGTCGTCAAAGAGGCGAAAGGACGCGAAGAAGGAAGGAGGGAGCCACGCGTTCAATGAACGGGCGTTCAATTTACGATTGGGGGGAGGGGAGGGGGCCTCGATTTTCGTAGTTTCGAACTTTCTTCCGAGAACACGCTTTTAATTCCGTTTCATCCAATTTAAGACGCATCGCGCTTCTAATCGTAGTCCAAAGGTGTATTCACGAATATAATGTATTAATCCTTTTTAGCACGCTCGTATGTCGCTATTTTATTATTATGTTTATATATATATTGGTGTATTCTTCTTGGGACTCTTGTTACAGTGTTTTCTTTTGATTTCTGCTTAAATACGTGTATATAAAATAAAATAAATAATAAAATATAACAAAAGATTTTTCCTCTTTTGTTCCTATAGTTATTATATATTAAACTCACGCTATTATATACACGCACAACCACAAATACAGACGACGAGTTCTCTGCCCCCTCTCGGAGAGACGATAACGCGATGACCTCGAGATAAATTGCTCGTCCACGGTGTTCAATGGCATCCCGAGCCACGGTACCGACGACGAAAGAAGAAAGTCTGCGCGTGATGGATACCAATTGGTTGCGTAATGAACTCATTCGAGTCGTCAAAGAGGCGAAAGGACGCGAAGAAGGAAGGAGGGAGCCACGCGTTCAATGAACGGGCGTTCAATTTACGATTGGGGGGAGGGGAGGGGGCCTCGATTTTCGTAGTTTCGAACTTTCTTCCGAGAACACGCTTTTAATTTCCGTTTCATCCAATTTAAGACGCATCGCGCTTCTAATCGTAGTCCAAAGGTGTATTCACGAATATAATGTATTAATCCTTTTTAGCACGCTCGTATGTCGCTATTTTATTATTATGTTTATATATATATTGGTGTATTCTTCTTGGGACTCTTGTTACAGTGTTTTCTTTTGATTTCTGCTTAAATACGTGTATATAAAATAAAATAAATAAATAAAATATAACAAAAGATTTTTCCTCTTTTGTTCCTATAGTTATTATATATTAAACTCACGCTATTATATACACGCACAACCACAAATACAGACGACGAGTGGCAGCAGCAGACATTCAAATCAGGATTACATATTGGAGAGTGTTTTGAACGATATCACGCAATGCAAAACTATAAAATGTAATTTTTTTCAATATGCATCATTTTTACTTTTTTAGTCTTTTGCAATTGTTCTTATGATATCTTTTAGAAATTTAGTTTTATTCATTTTTTAAAAATTTTGAAAAACATACACATATTATATAGATTTTCACTGATCAACGGGATAAAAATTTGTGTATTTTTCAATTTTTTTTTTTTTTTTACTAAAATTAACTCGTTATTCATTTCGATCGAATAAGAAATTCCGAGTTGATTGGCAACCTTTTTAAATATAAATACGAGCGATTTATGCTAGAATTTCTTGTCTCCGATTAATATCGATCTTCGTTTGTTTAAAATCATTGCGCCAGTGACAACAGCGTCGATGAAAACGAACACTGTATATGACAAAGAGCGATAGAAGCTGCATATTATAACAGAGGATACAAAAGGAGGATATTAAATTTAAGAGAAAAACTGGCACCGACCAGTTATGCCGTATTTCTATGCAGATCCTCCTTGCTCTGCTTCACAGGGGAGGAGAGCACAGGGTGGTCGTCTTTTCTCTAAAGTATTTTTATGCCTTCCTGCTTCCAATTCCCTTCCTTCGTACCGGTTCATACCTAAACGATCTTTAAAACGTGATTTTTCTTTTACTCGAATGAGAACAAGTTGAAGAAGAAAAAGGAGAAGCATCGATGATAAAAAAGGACCGGTGTACATCTGACCTTGTGCCCGAATGCCAGTTTCTCTCTCTCTCTCTCTCTCTCGGAAAGAGAGTTCTCAAGAGGGGAACTTGCATAAGCGTTAAATCGCGCTCGTTACACGGAGAAGAAGCCACGTAATCGGTCGTATTTGGAGCAGAATAACAGCTAGGAGTACGTGTTTCGAGGTATTTTGCTCGATCGAAAGACAGCCGAAAACCATCCTTTGACATTTTGCGAATCGTTAATTCGAGGAAGCAAGGAAAACGTGGATATTTCAACGAACGCTTCTTCCTCTCGAAAGTGGGCCGAGTTACGGATCTTTAAACCTTTAAATTAAATCTTCCCCGATACCCGGAATTCGAGAAATTTCACGGCGATTCGATTTAAACGTAGAATTTCGTGCGACGATATGGATAAATCTCGTGTTTATATCATGCTTTCTCTTTTCGTTGCTCGATAAAAATTCCCTAAATTCCATTCTTATGATATAAATATAAACGCGATAAACGAAAAGATTAAACTGATTTCGATTGATGAACGTTTCGGTAATAAAAAGGAATCTTTATAACGATTCGAGTGCGGCTTGTAAACAAAATCCCCTATAAAAAAAAAAAATACATTTCGTGCAACAAACGTAGATCCGAAAATGCCGAGCAAAAGTAAGAGATCCTGTGCCCAAAAGTGGAAGCGGAAACAAGACTCGATACTACTCGTCCTTGCTTGCTTTGCGCAACATTCGTATCCGCTAATTATTGGCTCCTGCCTTTCGTTAATATCTCCGCTCGTTTGCTCGTTAATTAACTTGTTCGCGGGAACGAATCGCCGAGCTCGAAAAGGGACGCGTCTTTGGAGGGGGGAAGTGAGGGGAGAGGCGACACGCTCGAGTCGTGGCGCGCGTTCAGTTCGTTCCTTCGAAGAGGTTGGAAACTGCGAGGAACCTGCGACCGGCTACGTCGCAATTTATGACGTTGGTTCGTTAAGCCGATGATAGGCGCGTAGGACGAGCGACACGATTTCGACACTCCTTCTCCGCTATCGTTCTTTCTCGAAAGTTTAGGAAGCGTTTAGGAAGATATCGTCGAGAGAAATTAATTTTTACGCTGGTTTACGTGTAAATTATTGACGTCGTTGGAAAAATGTTTCGAATTAACAATAATGCGAACCGTTTAACTTTATTCGAAAAACTTTTTATCCCCGTCAATAGCGTAATGGCGTGAAACGAGATAGCGATATCGCTTTGCAAATGCGAATCGAGGCGAATGTCAAACGTCGAGAAAAATGTCAAAGAAATTTCGAAGCGAGATATATTGTTTCTCGTACGTTGAAAGATAAAGAAGTTGAGTTTATCATTGAAACGAAACCACCCGTGAAACTCGGTGGTCGTGGAAGCCGGGTTTTCGTATCTCGACGATTCACCCCGACGAAACAGGGTTCAACGACACCAGAGATTCGACCTAGGTGGCTCGAATTTATTTATACACGAGGCAAGGAATTTGGGGTCATCGGTTGGCGCGATCGGCTCGGGTCAAGCTGAATAGTTGGATCGGCGGGGCTGTTGTCCTCCCGCATCGCGATAATCGAGCGGAAGTTGGCAGCGAGTCGCAGCTGCTGCCCGGAAATGCGGACAGGTAGAGGACGTGGAGGCACGTCCGCCTCCTTCCACGCTACCGGCCACTTTTTCGTCTCCTCCCTCTCTTATAGGCGGCAGTCACGCGAGAGCAAACAAAGAGCCCTCGAACCGAGCTCTTTCGCGCAAGAAACGCTGCTGCACGCAGCGGCAGCTGCCCTGCGCAGAGAGAGAGAGAGAGAGAGAGAGAGATCGTACCACGATGGCATTTCTCGTTCCCTGGCCGCGTGCACGCAAGGTGCAAAAACGTGCAGAAACGCTATTGAAACCGAGCCAAGCGGATCGAAAAGTTGAAACCGATGATCCTTTTGTATCGACCGTGCCAAATTTCCGTATCGAGTACTTCTTCTTACTTCTTCCATTAATCGCAATTTCATCGCCCTAAACTCGTTCTTCAAACGTATCTCCCCCCCAACCCTCTCTCTCTCTCTTCTCTCTTTCTCTTTCGATATTTCGACTTTGTGGAAAAAAACGAACGGTGTGGAGCATAGGTCGGGTTCGAAATCGTTCGATCAGCCGGTTTTTCCTCTCCCTAGATAGAATGGAACACTCACCGAAGTATCCTCTCCCTCTCGACGATCTCCTCGGTGGTGGGCTGGGCGGGTCCGAGCAACGAGTGGGGCAACGGCGGGTACCTCTGCGACCTCCACAGCATTTCGGACGCGACGGCGGGATGATGGTGGCCGGGTGGCGGTGCCGGGCTCTGGTAGCCGACCGGCGGAGCGGTGGCCGCGGCCGCCGCGGAACTCGGGCCGGCTGTGGGGGGCGGCTGAGGATGGGCCATGAGCAGCGAGGTGTGCTGAACGCTCTGCACGTGCCAGACCCTTGCCGGCGTGGTGGCCGCGGCGGGCGTCGACGACGAGTTGTTGGTCGCCTCGTCGACGCTCAGCGCGGAACTCCTGCTCCCGCTTCTCTCGTCGCCGGACCCGGCGCTCCTCAACGAGCTCACCCCGCTGTCCGACCCGCTGTCCCCATAAGCGCCCCCGCCGCCGGCCACACCTCCCACCGCCCGGATACCGACCGCCGCTGGCACACCGGTGAGCACACCGCTTCCAGGTATACCGGCCCCGGCCTCCACTTCCATGAGGCCGGCGTCATCGCCGCCCCTAGATGCGTGTGACTGCTGTTGCACCTCGAGGAGGCTCGAAGGGGTCAGCTGGTGATGATGCTGCTGCGACTGTTGCGACTGATGGTGGCCGCCGCTGTTCGCTACCTGATGCTGGTGCAACTGTTGCTGCTGAGAATGATGGTGTATCACGGGGCTAGCGGTGGAGTAACGTTGCTGTTGTTGTTGTTGTTGGTGGTGGTGTTGTTGTTGTTGTTGTTGTTGTTGTTGGGGGGGCGCGTGATGATGCTGCTGATGGTGGTATTGTTGAAGGTGTTGTTGATGGTGATGGTGGTGACCAGGTACCGGCGGTGGCGGCTTGTTCAGTCTCTCGGCTAGAATGACAGGGCTCTCGTTGTGCCGATTCCGTTCCTGCTCCCGTTGCTGCTCCAGGAGCAGGCTCTGCCTGCCAGAGCCGCCGCCGCCGCTGCCACTAAGCGGACTCAGCCTCTCCAGCACGGAGCCTGAGTCCTGACTGCTCGACTCAAGCAGCTCGACCACCGATTCCACGCTCGCCGCCCTCGCGCCGCTCGCGCTGCCCACGCTATCCTCCGTGCCTAGCTCGGTAGTCACCACCTCGGTAGTCCTTCGCGAGTCTCGCTCCTTCCCTCCCTCCCCCTCCCCCTCCCCCTCCCCCCCGCGCTCCCCCCCGGCGATCCTGTCCCCTCCGCTCCCCTCCCGCCTCCCCCTCGCCCCCGTCCGTCCTCCCCCCTCCCCCCTCCCCCCCTCCCCCCCTTCGCCGCCTACCCTCGGCTCGCTGCCGCCGATCTCAACGCGGCACCAGCGCCGGCATCGAGGAGCGACGAGGCGGTGGTGACGGGGCTGCTGCTGCTGCTGCTGCTGCCTCCCTCGACGTTGCTCTCGGCGACGACCACCGACGACGACGACGACGACGATGTGTCAGCGAGCAACGATCCATTCACCAACACCTGCTGCTGCTGCTGGTTCTGCCGCTTCTCTTGTTGCTGCTGTTGCTCCTGCTGCTCCTCTTCCTTCTCCTCCTCCTCCTCCTCCTCCTCCTCCTGCTTCTCTCCCTCCTCCTCCTCCTTCGCCCCAACCTTCGATCCGCCGCGTTAAATTGACCCTGTTGAACAACCCTGTTGAGCGTCGTGCGATCGCCTCCGGGATCTACTTTGTTCGGAGGTGGTGGCTCCGGTTCCCTGTCCCTCTCCCTCGACTGGGCGCTCTCCTCGTTCTCCTCGAGCTTCTTCCTCTCGACCTCCTCCTCTCCTCCTCCTCGTCCTCCTCCTCCTCCTCCTCCTCCTCCCCCCTCCTCCCCTCCTCTTCCGTTTCCTCGAGATCGGACCCGCCGCAACAACCCCCTTCCACCTTTCCGCTCGGACCTAAGCTTTCTGCCAGCAGCACCGACGGGGCTTGTCCTGAGCCTCTTAGTCAGGGGATCGCAGCAACGCTCCCCCCGATCCTCCTCCTCGTCCTCCTCGCCCTCCTCCTCCTCACCGTCGCCACCCCGATTCTCCTCCTCGGATCTGCCGCCCAACCGCTCCTCCTCCTCCTTCTCGCACGATTTTACGTTGCTCTCGACGGCGGGTGTATCCTCCCCCTCTGTCTTCGCCTCCTGGCAACCTCCTGCCGGCCTCGGCCTTCGTCGTACAGGTCTTTGATTCTCGACCGGGCTCTTCACCACGGTACCACGTTTCCGGAGTTTCGAGGCGTTGGTGGTGCTGCTCGACGCCGCGCTGTTCGCCTCCTCCAACACGGTCCGTGGTATACGGTTGCTCGGCCTGCCCGACGGCGGGCCTTTATTCTCCCTGTCCTCCTGCTGCCGCGTAGATAGATTGCTCTCGCCGTCCTTCTCGCGGCTTCCACCACCCTCGCTCACCCGTCTTCGCCGACTGTTGCGCGCCGAGTTCTTCTCTGGAACGATAACGATAAACGTTGGTTACTTTTTGGTTGGGGGGAGGGGGGGGGGTGCACAGCCTTGCATTTTGGGATTCTCGTTCCGTTCGAGGGAATTGGTGCAATTGGTTGATTAGAATAATTGGTAAGCATTAGGAGAGAGATGAATTCGAAACGATATCGTAGGAAAATTGGAGAGGAAATTATATTTATGTATATATGTATACTGGAATACAGGTTGATATAGAATGTATGTAGTATTGAAATTTGAGAAAAGAAAAGAGATAAAATAAAAATTGTGGAATGTATGTGTTTTTTATTATTATTTTTAAAACAATCCTTTTGCGTCTTTTCAATTAAACAATCGATTAATTTATAAAATGAAATGAAAGTAATAAATAAAAAAACTCGTGGCACGAGAATTTCACGTGAAGAAATTTCGAAAATTTTCGAATCCATCGATCAAGCGACAGGTGCGCACGGTTCGAAGTATAAACACCGTCTGCCCATTTCTCCTTCTCCCTCAATGTTATTACGTTCCCCACTCTCCGAAATTCGTACATGTTTCGATTATTACCGCTATTTATATTATTTCGATCTTAGTATTTCCAAACTTGTACGTCTAAAATTTGTATTATCTTTTCGTTTGTTACATTCTTTTTCTAAATTATAATAATATAATAAATGCCTTTTTAAAGCACGAAACGATAAAAGATCAGATTTCTATTTATCTTTTCCCTTTAATTTTCCAAATAACAAAGAAAATTAAAATCAGAAGAATATAGTCATTCGGTGTACTTAAAAAAGGTATAATTGGTGTTCCCTTAAGTAATTCTATTTATAAAATATTTTACATTTTGGATGGAGACACTGTTGAGAGGATATTTTCGAATATATTAAGGAAATTGTAATAAATAGTTTCAGTAAGAAAGAAATCTACATCTACGAAGGGTTTTTGCTTTATACATTTCGAATACATTCTTCGTTCGGATTCAACGTTGAAGGAATTCGAGGGAATGTCGTATATTCGAAATATTGGCGTAAATTTTATACGCGTCGTTCAACGTGTAATCACTTTTATCGATCGAGTAACAGTGTCCCGTGTTTACGCGGTAAGTGGAAGGTTGTTCGCGTACCCTTGTTCATCCTTGTCGATTAAGGTCGATCGATTCGACGTAGTAGTCAGTTGCTATGACGGCCGTGGTGTCACGTAAGCAATTACAGAGGCGAACATCTATAGCCTCCTCTTCGACGACGGCACGTTCGATGACTTTTAAGCGTATTTCGAACGTGTGATTATATTGCGCCACGTAATATACCTTTGCCTCGTAAGTAATAGGATTATGGAATTAGGGCGTCCTCTCGCGTACTGGAGAAACTGATATCCGTTACGACGAATTTTTTCGCACGATGATGATAAATATACTTTAAAGCGAAAATACTTCTTTCCTTTGTCTCGTTTCACGCTAAATTGTATTATAAAAATTTTGAAAGAGAGAGAGAGAGAGAGAGAGAGAGAGAGATGTATAATTATGATGTTTGATTAATTTTTTTCAACCTATTCGTTAATGTCGTTGTAATAGTTAATTGGTAAATTATTATATACGAGATTTTTAAAAGGTGAGTAGAGGAAAATAACGAAATTGAAATTCTCTCGTTTAAACAATAATTGCGTCTTCAAACGATAGAAAGAATAATAATCGTCGAGTTGAAAGAGTTAACATAATTCTATTTCTATAACGATTCTCCAAAATTATTTATTGTTATAACAAATTTTCCATGATTATAATCTTCTGTCTAATCTATTTTAAAGAAAGAAGGATCGAATTTAACCAAAAAAAAAAAAAAAGACTCGGAATTAGAACTAATCCAATGAAAGAGCAGAACATTCCGCCCCCCCCCTCCATTCGAATCGATCGAACGAACGAAATGGAAGAAAGCAATCGGCGAAACAGCAGTCTTCTTCCATCGGGCAAATAATTCTCCGGGATCGACCTTCGAGATTCGCGTTCCACCGACACTGCTTTCATCTCCTTGACCTCGATCGAATCCTCGATATTCAATAGCAAACACTGAATTCGGAAAATTGGCCTCCACCACTAGCCCCTACTCTACCTTTCGTGCCAGCCCAACAAAAACTCTTCCACGGAATTTTACATTGATTCGATAGACGCGGATACCTGTAGAGGGAATTATTCGCGACAACACGTCGCGAACAAACGATTGAAATAACTCTTTTCGTTTTATTAGTTTGACCTTGGAAACGCGATAATTTTAACGATCCTTTATTCTCACAAGAAAAATACGTACGAGAAAAACAGGATTAATAAGAAGATTCTCTGCCGCTGTTTGAAAAATCGATTGCGTCCGATCCGTGATCTTGCCTTTCCAGAAATTATATATTCTTCTTATTTATTTATTCGAATAATTACATCGATCCTTTTCAAAAAAAAAAAAAGAAAGAAAGAAACATTATGCACCGTTATGCAATATCTTTTATTTCATTTACTTTCCTCTCTTTTATTATTTTTATTACCATAAAATTGTCCACATTTGTGAAAAAAATTAATTCCTCTTTTTTTTCAAAAACACACACAAAACCCCTATAATACGTATATCCGTCATATACGTCGACGCGTAATAATTAAAATTCATTTGAAAAAAAAAAAAAAGGAAAAAAAAGAAAAAAAAGAAAAATGAATCTTCCATCTTCGATAGCGATAACGATTTATCGTTGGAAAAAAAGTAAGCCAGGGGCACGATAATCCGTTCGCAAATACGCGACAGAAAGAAGGACGGAAATGGCAACAGTCGGAGAAATCAGCAGCAGCAGCAGCAGAGGGAACGAAGGAAAACGAGGAACACGGGCAGGTGGAGGAGGCAGAAAGGCCACGGCTGAGAGGAGGAGGAGGAGGAGGAGAGGCCGGGGGAAACGGAGTCAGGGGAGAGGGATTTATTACCAAGGATTTACTGTTATTACCCGGAGGGGGAGAAGCACTCGAGCGGGCAACGGCGGCGCGCGGTGTTGCATACGTGTGTGGGGTGGTGCGTTTATCCGATGCACAGACCTCTATATATACATACATATATACATACATATATATATATATATATATATATATATATATATATATATATAGTACGT